CATAATAGAAAAAATTATACAGAATAAATGTAATGTACAAGGGCGAGCTTATCTCTAAAAAGAGATTTCTTCCAGCAAACCTAGAAAATGTTATAGGATCGTGTATTAAATAGAATAGTCATACATACGTGTACGAAAAGAGGAGATATTAAAATATTGTTTTAATGATATTAACTATAAGTATAAATAGACATACATAAATATATATATATATATATATATAGACATACTTAAATGGTACATAAATAAATTATAAGACATAAGTTAAAATGTAAATTATAATATATACCTAAATATATAAATATAAAAATACGTCAGCATTGTGAATGATAATACGCTTTTAATCGGCATTTGAATATTTCAATACTAGAACTGGCACGTATTTCGTGAGGTAAAGAGTTCCACAATCGAATAGCCGTCACCACAAAAGAGCTGGAATATGCCTGCCCAGAGTGTACTGGAGTCCGCAAGAGTAATTTATTCTGAGATCGAGTGTTCATTTCTGTCGGATAGAGAAAATTAAAACGTTCGCGGAGATAGGAAGGTGCAGAAGGATTATGCAAGATATTGTACAGAAGACTGAGAGTGTGAACATTCAGTCGAAAATGAAAGGGCAACCATTTTAACTGATTACGGTATTGAGTTATATGGTCAAACTTACGCAAACCAAACACAAACCGAATGCACATGTTTTGGAGACGTTCCATTTTGTTGAGCAGTTCACCAGTGGCATCAAGAAAACAAACATCTGCATAATCTAGGAGAGGTAAAAGGAGTGTATGAGATAATTCGACCTTCGTTTTAAATGGAAGAAATCTCTGAAGACGCCGTAAGGAGTGAATGGTCCCATATATTTTCTTACTCACATGTTTAATGTGAGAAAACCAGGAGAGGTCACTATCAATGTAAAGACCCAAATCCTTTACTGTTTTAACGTAAGAAATTATATCCCCATTGTATATTATTGAAGGAATGTGCATTGAATCTAATAAATTAAGCATATATCTGCTGCCAATTATAATCGATTGTGATTTTTTGGTATTAACAAGCAGACCATATGCCTTAGCAAAGCCACAAATACACTCGAGTTCCGTATTGATCAAGGAGATAGCATTATCAACAGATGGTAGGTCAAAACTGCGGTACAGTTGTAGATCATCAGCATAGAGATGGAAGTTGCAAGAGATCACTTTCGTCAGTGAATTGATGAAGACAGAGAAAAGTAAGGGAGAGAGAACACCACCTTGAGGGACGCCGGCAGTCAGTTCGCACCAATCTGAAGTATTCCCATCCAGGAACACGCACTGCCTGCGGCCCCTCAAGTATGAATCAAACCATTCTAAAACCAGTGGAGATACGTTAAAAGAGTCAAGGATGCCAAGGAAAATATCGAAGTCAATAGAGTTGAAGGCGTTACTGAAGTCTAATAAAGTGAGGATTGTGAGCTGTTTATTATCTTTAGCAAGGTGAATGTCATCTAGTACTTTAATTAAAGCCGAAACTGTGCTATGGGCAGGACGAAACCCAGATTGAAAAGGAGATAGTAGGTTATTACTATATAGATAAAGGGATAATTGTTCATGAACAATATTTTCTAAAATTTTGGATAATACAGGTAGAATAGAAATGGGACGAAATTCGTTAAAAGAGCTAGGATTATTGGTTTTAGGAAGAGGAATTACGCGAGCATTTTTCCAGGCAGCCGGAAAAGAACAAGTGACCAAAGAATGATTGATTATGTGAGTAATTATGGGCACAAGTTCGTCAATTATTAGTCGAATCATTTGTATACAAATATTGTCATCACCGACTGCCTTGGAGGAAATGGTAAGGATACTCTTTTTAACGTCACACTGGCTAATGATTTTGAAGGAAAAAGGCTCGCAATTGGGTTTAGACTGGCGGCGAAGACTATCAAGTGTTAACGCTTTGATACTGTCAGCAACGGTGACAGGAGGCGAGGAGAAATGCTTATTAAGCGCATTATAGTCCAAATTAGAGGGACAAGTTGAAGAAGAAGATTTGCCAATACCCAATGATTTAAGAAGTCTCCAAATCTGAGCTGAATTATAGCTATGAATGGATTCATGAATATGGCGTCTCTTTGCATCTCTACACATCCGATTACACCGATTCCGCAGCTTTTTATAGTATAATAAATTATCTTCAGACGGAAAACGCTTATATTTCGTATATGAGAACTGGCCAAGTTAGACCTTAGGCTACAGTATATTATCCTAAGTTATAAGAAGAAATGATATTTTATATTGTTATAAACACATTTCAGGACAGACCATTGAACTTGGCACCCATTTAGATCTCATCTCTTTTGTCGTAGAAGTCAACGATCAAGGTATATATCATAATATTAAACTCGGCTATCATTTCACATTTATGTTTTTGATGGGATTATACTAACTGGACATTGAAAGTAGACTATAGTCGTATTTTTAATTAAACGAAGTCAACTGACGTTTACTGTGTTGTCAGTATTTGATGAAATAAAAATAGTGTTGTGACAAAGTGAATAATTGAAAAAACTCCTGAATTAATAGAATTGCCTCGATTGTCTGGTGAATAGTTAGTGAGCCGAACTGCCGATATCGGGTACGGGGTTCGAATTTTAGCCGTGCTTTATACATACCAACGAGTTTACGGCGATTATGTTCCTATAGTATCTGCCTATACTGAATACCGAGTATTTTTAATATAAAGAAAAAATTGCGTGGAAACTTTCAATACTGTCCTATTTACAATTCATCATGTAATTGAAACTATAGATGTATAAAATATAACAATATATAACATAATATAGTTAGGTAATAAAAATAAAAAACTGCGCTTATTACAAAATTTGTTTTTATTCATCATCAGATAAAAAAATAATTGTCGCTTTCAGTGACATTAATTATAAATCTGTCTAAAAATTGTCAAAAAGTTATCTTTGAAACAGTGTTTCGGTCCACGTTTCTCCGGAGACTTAAATTGTTCACTTTGTATTATTTTAATACATTGTAGACTGAGGTCACACTAATTCCCAAAATGTCAGCTGTTTTCGAAATACATTTGTTTTTTTGGGAGCCTCAATAGGTAATAGTGAAGCAGCTTTCTCAAATACGTATTTGTAGACGTTTTGTATCATAAGTTTTTCGGTAACGTTTTTCTTGGAGACAAGCTTTGGCTTGACGTGCTTGGTTGAGGATCCATATTGTTTGTATGAAACAATATAGTAAATATACAATTACCACAAACACAACATGAGGAAAAACTTAACAAAACAGCGTGAGCGCAAAAAAAAACATTAGTGCTCTCAGACAAGAGGTTAGGAGCCGAATTCCAAACAAAATGGCGACCGACGCTCGCGACGTTGATTTGTGTTGGCACTAGTAGCCGCGCGCTTTGTAATAAGCCGTCAAAAAACTGATTGTAGTTACTAGTAACTTATCAGACTTACAGAGCACTTTTGTACAATTTTATTGTAAAATAGAAATAATATTCTTTTGTAGTTTGAAATGATTAACTATTCACACTCATTGTTCATTCATCTAACTGAGAACTGAACGCATCACTATTACTTTAAATATGGCAACATTATTTTACAAAGTGACATTAGCTACTGTCAGCTAGCTTCGTCTAATTAAAAATACGACTATAGTCAATCTCTTAATCAGTGATTTTATTTAAACCCGTTAGTATTATTTTTATATCGATTACAAATAGTCTTTTCTTACACCGTTTCATGATGGATAATTCAAACATGCTTTTTTTTTATTGCAAATATTTCTTCTAAGTGTTCCACTAGCCCGTTTTTTTTTAATCCTTGATAATGGCACAAATAACATAAAATTACATAATAATAATTTGTTAGCCCATTATGTCAAATTCACTAGAATGCACCTAGATTACTTCCATGGATGAGTTCGTGATTTAATGCACAAATACATCATAGAGTTTTTTTAAACACATAATCTGTGGTCTAAAATTAAATAATATTTATTAATAAATTCATAACAAACAACATTCAATTAATATATACAAAATAAAAATTATTTTAATACAACAGAAAATATTTGTTAATAGCAGAAAGTTTTTTATTGTAGATAACTTTTTTATCGATTATATTTTGACATCTCTATGTGTCAGGCCAAGTTAAGTTAAACTTAGTGTTAGAGTAGAGATGTGCTAATTCGTAATAAACTCGAGTTCGAATTTAGGTAACTCGAGATGACTCCAGTCATGATCAGGAATAAATAGTATGTTTTTAATATTTCGAATAATTCTAATATTTTTGGCCGCAGCTGGCCTTGAAAAATTCACCGAACCATGGGGGGCGAGTAGAAATGGCACTTCAAAGCGGAAGGACTTATGGAGCGTATGCATGGCTGCAGGTCAACTAATTCTATTTGGGTGCTATTTTTTTAATGATTCAATAACGAGCTCGGATTTCTTACATATTTAAAATGAATCAGAGCATTTTACAATTTACTTACTACTCACTGCCAATTCGATAAAACAAGGAATTTTTAAGGCTTAAGGCCCGGAATTTACTAAAATATACTACAGTACTAGATGGTAAACCGTTACCGTAGCCTATTATGGCTACGGTAACCATCAAATGAAATCGAATGCTTCTTTGCTATCTACGCTGTATAAAAAAATACTTGGTGTTTAAAAATAACCAACAAATGTTAACTGACAACCGCTAATTTAATCATTTTAATGATAACATAACCGGACGAATACGGGAAGAAAATTATAACAACCTGAAATCAATATTGAGACATTTGTGATCAGTGAAATTTGTATACTTGACTTACTACTTGACTTGACTTACTTTACTTTCATTGATATAAGATGACTTCATGTCATTGTCGGTTCAACGACCGAATCATGCTCCATCTCTTTCACTTGATTCGTTCATTAAATTTTCGAATTCATCGCAATTCGATTTAATTCGAGTTAGGAACTCGAGTTGATACTTCTCTAAGTTAAGAGCCGTAGACCGCTAGTTTTTGTTTTTTATCAGCTTGGATTTGCAGCTGAATATTAAAGAATTATTGCTGTAATATATTCCTTGATCAGAATAAATAGGAATACTCGAAGAAAATGTTTGATCTCAACTTGTTAAATAGTCAATTGTTTGTTCACAAATTAAATTTTACTGCAGTTATTTCAATCTTGTTATAGGCTTTTTATTAATACAATATGGATTTCAGTTCGCATAATCCACGAACCTCTAATTCCTTAAATCTAGCTGCGAGAAACAATGACATAGAGGTAGTGAGAACTTTACTAAAAAAAATGAATCCTAACTGTACAGACAATAGAGGGTGGACATGTCTCCATGAAGCAGCTAATAAGGATAGTTATGATTCTCTGTTACTTATTTTAAAACATCCCGATTGTAGACCACTTGCTGAAACTCATGAGGGACATACTCCATTATATCTGGCTTGTCGCAGACAATGCTCTCTATTGACTATTAAAGCTCTTCTTGATAGTGCCAATGATATAGTTAACTATGGCAGCACTGAAGGTGTTACTCCATTGCATATAGCTAGTGGTCAAGGTAGAGTGGAGTTAATACAGTTATTATTAGAATATGGTGCAAGTATAAATGTTCAAGACTTCGATGGTGATACTCCTTTACATGATGCTGCTTTGGCAGCTCAACATGAAGCTGTGACAATATTGCTACATGCTGGTGCAGATCCTGAGATAAAAAATGGGCCTAGTCTTTTGACTGCATTTCATTTAGCTTGCTGCAAGGGTTCGTTTGAAACTGTCCAGAATATATTACCGTTCATGACTGAAGTAAATGAGCTGGCAGCAGCTGGGGAGAGCCCCTTGATGTCAGCAGTCAAAGGCTGCAATGATGATGTCATACGCTTTTTGTTGGAAAATGGAGCTGATCCTCATATAAGGAATGTATATAACCAATCAGCTTTAGATATGGCTCTCAACTTTGGTTATATTTCTATATTCAAGATGCTCCTGGTAGTTACAGACAAGCAGCAGATAAATTCTAATATAATTGTGAATGCTTGTAAGCCACACTATTTTAAGTTTGAAATACTTGAAGCTTTATTAAACTATGATTTGGGGCCAGACTTTTTTGACTTTATTGAACCATTCCATGTGACTTTGGAAGAAATTGGTGACCATAAACCATTTTACCTTACTAATGCACCTCTGAACTCATATTTAAATATTTGTGAATATATTTATAACCAGTCACCTGATAAATTTAGAGAGTTTTTTTATCTATTCCTTATGAGGGGTGTAGGTGTAAATGCCTTTAATATAGGTGAATGTCCTCCATTAGTATACATACACTATTGTATACATGCTGGATGTTTTGTAGAAGTAAGTATAAACATTACAAAATATGTCTATTTTCTATTTCATTATTAGACTAATTATTTAGAAATGATTTCAATTTGATATAAATATTTTCTTAATATAAAGAAATATGGAATTCATTTGGTATGAAGATGCAATAGACATAAAACCTGCATCCAATAATTTATGTTATTATTATTAATCCAATATTTATTCATCCATCCATAAGATATATGATAACCATTTACCATCAGAAAGGCCTTATGACTAAATGCCACTGCTGTGGTAGAAAAAAAATGTATTTATCAAATGTAGCAAATAGGTAAATTTTTAACATAATTTAGTAAAACATTATTACATAAAAATAATGTTTGTGTGTAAAAATGTTACAGGTTTTCCAAATACTTGTAGAAAATGGTCTTGATGTGGATTACTGCAGCTCAACTACAACTGTGGCTAAGAGCCTCTGTGTTCCTGATGCCTTCTTGGCTTCACTCAGTTCGGACCTTGATACTGCTTCATACATGATACCATATAGCCTAAATGTAGATCCAGAGACTTTCTTACAATTTGCATGTGACAATGGAGTAGCGGGTAGAATATCTCTGCAAGTAAGTTAATTGTGTGTAGTTGAATACTGTATACAATTTAGAAATAAGATACAATTACAATTTAGAATTAAGAAGTTGGACTGTTTTTGATGGAATTTTGTGTGTACTTTTACATAGGTTCCTGGATGGTTCCAGGAACCTATAAAAGTATCTCCGCCTTTCATAAGAGATACTTTTCTAGGGAAGACTATCTGCCTGTATAGCATTATTTAGAAATAATCCTTGCATCTCATAATAATCATCTTCCAACTTGTCTCAAATTGTTGGCTGTCTGTTTATTTTTATATTTAGAATAAAATAATCACATTGTTTCTCAGTAGCATGTAAAATTTAAATAAATGGTTCAATGAATTTCAACAAGATTTTATTCCTGAGCTAGTATAATTAGCAAAACTGAGATATTTATTAATTAGATAGCCAATGATGTTTCATATATGATAACAGACAATCTAGTCTCAATACTTTAATTGTATAAGAACTTATACAGCCTAAGATTGGGAATAGATTTCAAAAACATCTTTTGTTTATTGAATAGTTCAAACCTTAGGCTATTATATAGTATTTCATAAATGACAAAATTACATAATTTTCAGGCACAAAAAAAGTTAGTGTCCTTGATAGATGACAACAATGAAATGGTTTATGTGGAACAGCTACCATATTTAGTGCCACCATTGAGACATTTGTGCAGAATTAAAATACGAAGTGTATTTAGAAATAGGAGAGACATAAAGTCTACAAAAGAATTCCACAATAATCTCAACCATCTACCATTGCCTCCAGCACTCAAGAAATACTTAACTTACATGTAGAGTCCGAGATTATTTTGTTTGGTTAATAAGTACAATACTTGAGTTAAAAGATATTAGGTTTTTTTACAATTTATTTATTTATTATTTAAGAATAATATTGCATTTATTTTGCACATGTTTTTGCTCAGTTATATAAATATATAAAAATGTTTTACATGGTTATTACTTATTTAATACCTTCATATTACATCAGTATTAACATTAAATATACAATATTATTAATTTATCAGCAAGTCAGACACAGTTGTCGCTTACTAATCTATATAGTATACATGTGTTAGATATATGATTTATATATTGTTATTACTTGAAATTTGCTCCATTAGCCATAAAGTCTTCAATCTCAGCAACCCTTAAACAAAAAAAGAAACAATTATGTCAATTCCCTAATTTCAACTACTACAGCACATGTTCAATTCAATTCAATACTTTATTTGCAAAAACATGGGTACAAACTACTGTGTACTATTATTATGCTAGACAAGAACTGCATGCCGACACAAGTTAAAAAGACAAAACGGGCACAGTTTTTTTGAAAACATCCACATTTTAAACTAAAATGACTATCATAGCTAGAGTCAATTTTTGCCAAAGCAACATTCCCAAATACGGTTTTTCTTTCCTGCGTGAAAGCAGATTCGTGTGAAAGAGTATATGAGGAAAGGCTGTTAATATTCATTTTGTATGAACTCACGTTCTTGGCACAAAGGTCAGGTTCTCTACACCATCATCTGTGATGAGAACATCATCTTCGATCCGTACTCCGCCAAATCCGCGGAATCGGTCTACTACGTCCCAGTTGAAGAACTGCGACTGTGCTGGGTTGTTTTTAGCGCCATCGAGCAGCTGCAATTGAAAATATTCTTTTTTTAAACATTCTAATACCATGGGCTTGGTCCTGACCTTTACACCTTACCGAAAATAGAAGCGAGGGCAGAAAGTACATACAATAAATTATGACAAAATTTATTGTATGCAATGTATGTAATACATTGTACAACTAGGTGATAGCTGATTTATTCGCCTTTGATAAGGTAAAAAGTATTAAATATTGGAACAACTAAAACTGAAACAAACGAAAACATGAAGGTCGAAAGTAGTCATCCAATATTTCATCTACCTAACTCTTTAGCGTAGCCTTAATAAAATATAGATTTTTTTCTTATGAATGATAATAGAATAGTGCACCTGCCTGCGCTAACGGTTTACGCTGGCGGCACACCAGTGGAGGAAGATAAGATGAGTATGAGGTCTGGTCAGTTAGCCCCATCGTGGTAAATTCACCATGAATTTATCTCTATATAGATCTGATAATACGAATAAAAGATATTAAAAATTTTGCCCATTCGATCCCGGCCTGTTCTGAGCGGCCGGACCTTAGTGTGATGCACGCACCCTGGGTATGAAGTAGCAGCCGGGCTCGATGGTGAGCAGCATGCGCGACTGCAGGCTGCGTGCGGTGCGCAGGCGAGAGAGGGGCGCGGCGGCGGCGCGCGGGGGGCAGCCCGCCAGGTACCCGCCCACGTCGTGCACGTCCAGCCCCAGCAGGTGGCCCAGCCCGTGCGGCTGCAGGATGCCGTTCACGCCGCTCTACTCACAAAAACATCACCATGCAGTCTCACACAACGAAAATAGAGTAGAGAATTGTTTGGGATCCTACTCCTCTTAAATGAATCATGGTTTCGAACTTCGGGACGGCTAATAAATTTTAATGTCCGTTAGAATGGTATAGTAAAGCGATCGGACGGTGTATATCTATAACATTACGCTAAAAAGGTAGATAATAACATTTAATGTTACCTTGATCATTTCCTCCACATCTCCCTTCAACAAGCCACCTTTTTTCAAATGTTCTAGCATAACTCGATTGGCTAATAAATGCATTTCCGGCCACAGCACACCAGGTTTTCCCTCTCTACAAGAATAATGTTTTTTAATATACTATATTTGTAATTTAAAAAAAAAAAAATTTATTATACATCAGATAAAACTACAAACATATCTGACGACTGTCCAAATCCACTAATTATTATCAGTACGGGTGTAAGGAGAGATTATATTAAATTTTGTATGCTATTGTAATAGTATATAAGCTGATACCAGGAATTTGTGTACATGTGATTCAGGGGGCTTTCTTGTGCAATTATGTAGAATTTTTAGACATAAAGAGATAAAATGCTCAATATAAATAACATCTGCGCTATTGTACGCGATAAGTGCAATGTTATACTCCATATATTAGTATGTACCTTATAACGGCATCCCTGGCAAACAAGACTGCCTCGTATATAAGTTTCTGGTCAGCTGTAAATTTGCCATTGGCTGGAAAGGAGCACGTGATGTCGGCTGCATACCCTGCGTAATTACCTCCCATGTCGAATAGACTGTAACATATCAACAATATAATTATTTCAAGTGTTTAAGTATGATCTAAACATTTGTTTATTTTCTATCTGCATTAGTATTATCCATAATCTACTTTAAGTACCATTGTTTTATTTGTGTGTTGTGAATTGAATTTACATGACACCAAAAAATACTGGTGTATTTTTACATTTCTAACAGACTCTCCGGTGAAGGAATTCAACGTTGGATTCAAACGTTTTTTTTTCTATTTGTTTCTATTGGAAATAACTAAAAAGCACTGAATATTTTTTTTCTTTCATCATAGGATCACTATTTATTTATTTACGGTCATTACTATAAGTTATAGTTTATTATTATTATGGTTTATAGTGTTGTTTAACATTACCACATATCGCCGTCTCTAATGCGTTTGCTGTTAGGCGCGGCTGCGTGCCCGTAATGTAGAGTCGCAGCATTGCCGCCCGAACCGCAAATGCAGGTATAGGATACGTGGCGGCAGCCTCCCACTCGGTAGCAATGGTCCAGGAATATTGACTCACATTGATACTCCATTAGTCCAGGCTTTGTGTATAGCATCACCTGTATAGGATAAAGTAATTTATTATAACAATAGGAAAAATATTAATACAAAAAACTTAACGGTCAGAAGCGACTAAAATGTCATACTTGAATATTTTTTTTCACTTCATTTGATATACCATCGAGCGACCCATTTTCGTACAGATGTACATTTGTAGATCGTTATTTACTGATGCTAATAAAAACTCAAAATTGTTCAGTGTTGAAAAATTTTTAACATAATATTTTTCGAAAATATCTTTGTTACTCCTCCAGTCTTTCGGTCTATTCTTCCAGTTGTTTTTTCGTGAAACCTAAACATATCAACAGATATACAAATTAACAGGTGGCTTTCGTCTTTACACGACTTTGCAACTATATTATATAAAAAGAAAAAAAGATAAAAACTACTTTTACAATAACCAGGTTTGTTTCCCGTGTGCTGTTTACACACGAGGTCACATGTTCAACGGAGCGCGTTTTACCTAAAAATTTAACCGTGACCTATCGGATTTTTTTTTATTGGTAAACGATGGAGGTCCTTAGTTCGGACTTCGATGAAATGTTGGTCTCGATCGGTCAAGTCGTTTCGGTGGAGTATCGTTACAAAGAGTGCAAATCTGATCTCTAAGATCGCTCCACGCTTCGCGCTTTACTCAATTAACACACTTCTACCGTAATATATAGGATTGACACACCACAGTAAACTACATACGTGTATTATGTGACACTTGGGGCGAATCTGTTTGTCACAAGGCAATACGTTCAAGGGCTATAAATGCTATAGAGACATATATACTGTGCCCTTCAGTATAGAATACTTACGTCCCCGTAATCTTTGATATTTATTACAGTAGTTAATAGAAAATATAATAAAATAATAGTAAAACAACAAATCTAACCTGTTTATGAGCATCAGAAGACACTTTGCATATATAACGCATCACTTCAATTTCCTCTGGAGTCTTGATAACGCGACTGCAAATATACATACATTAAATTAATGAAGGATTTAGCTGTATTATTTACTTACAGGTATAATTATTACTAAATTAATATTTTTTTCCATGGAAATACTTAGAAGTCTGAAGGAAGATATAGATGAACAAGAATTTTTAACAAGTTAAGTTTTATAAAAGCTAGGATTTTAATAAAGAACTTTGTATTAGGAATCTATTCATATTCATAATGTATACTTTTACCAATTTAGTAATTATATACATAATTATTGCAAACCAGATTCTTTTCATTGATTATTTTATTACATATCATCATAGACTTAGTCCATTAGATGATATTAGATTATTGTAATGTAACATAATTGAATTATACAGCTGGCAGTTCTAATTATCAGCTTATGATAAGATTGAAAAAATATAACGTCTGGATATAAGTATTTAAAATTATAATGCATGTTAATTAGGAATTAATTACATTATGTAAGAAATAATTGTAATTCGTTTAGAAAACATTCTGAATATGTTTAATTAATATATTATAGAAACTTACATTTCTGCTATAATTGGAAATAATATTTCATTATCCACTTTGAATCTGGAAATAGAAAATAAATTAAATATTAGATTTTATGAACTAATCAAAATGGAAAAACTTTTTAATAAAAGTATTATTGTTAAACTTACTCATCTATACCTTCAAAAAGTGCTTCTTTAGCTGTTAGCCCACTATCTGTGTTTGGTCCACTCTAAAAATGCAAATAGGTATGTTATATTTATTATTATTTTATAAAAATAGATATATTTAGTCAAAAAATGAATATGAATTTATGAATCTTTCATAGAAATTAATTCTTGTAACACAATCTAGAATTTCATATAGTTAGTAGATTAACTTTCGTATGGCGATTAGTAGAAACAGTCATACCACTATCAGATAATTTAATTAAAATATAGTCATAAATAAATACATACTAATGTCAAAAGTGATTCTGCATTCAAACTTTTGAGTACATCCCGCAACTGTAAAAATAAAACAATGTCTCTTAACTAATATTAAATAAATAAAACAGTCAACTGGCATAGTGTTATCAATTTCTAAATGAAGCTGAGCTTGTACCATCAAGACTACAGAACTGTTTACATATTGGAGCACATTTTATTTTCTACACATTTATTTATGAACTCATTTTTTAATAATTAATATCCAAAATTATAAAAATATTATATTTAGTATTAATATAAATCTATAAAAGATTAAGAATACAATTAAAGCCAATTATTAAAAACTTAATTAATGTATACCTCATCTACATAATGGACTTCCTCAACGGCATATATTTTTTTGAACTCATCACATGTTAGTAGTTTCCCCATCCAGACTTCATATTCCTCAGGTAATCGTGGTACAAACAAATGTCCTTTTCTTGTTTTTACATCTAGAGCAAAGTAGCATCCTGGCTCACGCACTCCAGATATCCAGGTGAAATATGCTTCCTGAAAATCATATTTAAGTCAATTACAATATTATTGAAATTACCCTGATTTTGTAAATTATAAATCCATAATCTCTTGAAACACTATTCTAAATATAAATAAATGAATTTGTTTACTTCTTACACTTTCACATTTTACTAATGAAAGATGGCCACAATATTTATATATGTATATACATAATACTTAACATTAACAACAAGCATATTTTTTATTCAGAACAATCACATATCATACATATAAAGTGGCAGGTAGAAACTATCAAGTATAATAGCAACAGTAAAAAATAACTTTAAGTAAACTTAATTCTCAATAAGCACATGAGTCATGCTGCAAGAGTGTTATTAGTTATTACTTCTAACAATACTACAATAAATTATAGTTATATATATACTTGTAATGTTTGATAAATGTTGAGTATTGTATTGTAGAATAAAACCTAATTATATACCAAATTGTTATATCATCTTATTTTTTCAGTATTATTATTTGTTTTAAACAACATATTTAATATCAGTAATTGAAATATGACACAATATGTGAGAGGTAGCACTGTATAAAAGACTGGGCATATTTATATGTGCAACTAAAATATATATGTAAATGTGTTCTTTATTCTGTGACATACTGCACTTCAGCTTAAATAAAAATGTGCCTTATTTATAAAAAAAGATTTGTGGTATTAAAATAACACTAATTTTCATTAGAAAAATGTGAAAGTGTAAGAAGCAAACAAATTCGTTTATTTATATTTAGAAACACTATTAATTACATATTATGGTAATATTTAAATTTTAAAAGTATAGTTTTGGCATACTGCATTATCATTATAATGCATAGCATTAAATTTAATCCATTTGGTAACTTTCTGTAAAACTAGTATATATTTATATAGATTAGGTGTGTAAATGGGTAATAGTTTTAACATTTAAATGATCTAATATACAGAAAAAAAATGTATTAAGTTTGCTTTTAAATATTACACAAAATAAAATGTGAAAATAGTTAATTTGAATTTGGAAGACTATACAAATATAGTATTTTATTGTCTTCCAAATTCAAATACTACTAAAAATATGTAAGTCCTAGTTTTAAATTTTCTATAATTTTCATATTATGTTACTGATAGTAACATTATATGAAAATAATATTTTTTATATACGAAAATTTAATTTAAATGTAATAAGAAGATTTCATCTATTGTCCAGTTTAAAATGAAACACATTGATAATCACAAGCAGTTGATATAATACTCTGACCTAAATATCAAGTTAAAATTGCATGTACAATAACAATGAAATTATTTATGATAACTCACTTGTCTAAAAACATACTCCACGTCAGTGTCATAATGATTTATACTATCGCCTCCTTGTAACAATACAACTTGACCAGGTTGCAATTTCTCAGCAAGTCTCTGTCTGTTGGTAGCAAATAATGACAAAGGCACTTCGTAAGTACCCGGTCCCATAGACCAGGTAACTGTAGTGGCTGTCATACTCACGGCGATTGTCGAATGGAGACTAGAACACAATTCTTTTATAACAACATTACACCTATCTTCACGGAATGATAACGATTAATTAGATAGATAAGAAACTTGTTTTGATAAGTAATACTCGTACTTACCTACTTTAGAATATTTATATTATTATTTTTGCATTACACTTTGTTTATGACGATGTTTGACAAATATAACTTTACAATATTAGGAGATAATTACGTTCAAAATAGATATTCCAAGTGAGAAAAACATAACTATGTTATTATTATGGAGTTTATGTCGTTGTGCTTTATTGATTGACAGAATAACTGACTAAGATTAAACAGAAAACTGTCATTCATTTTACCGATATTGCTATTTCATTCATAATTTTTTTTCTTGTGGTATGGCATTCACCCCGATTTTAGGGTATTTCGCCAAAAACAGAAAATTATATAGAACATGATAATTACAAATAATATATATACAATACGGAACACATTACGTTAAATTTTAATACTATTTAAATATATAAATTCAGCTAAAATTTTATAAATAATAGGATCATTAGAGAAAAGAAGAGTAGTAATAGAGGTAGGAAAAGAGATACGGATGGATCTGATATGTTTAAAAAAGGAGGAGTGATCAAGATCCGGACATGAGAAAAAAATCTAGTTATATCAGCTACTTCAGTACAGCAAATACAACAGGAACTTTCTACAATACCAAGTTTATAAAGGTGAGACGGTGTGCACATGTGACCAAGACGCATACGAGTTAATATAGTTGTCGCAGTCTTTCCGAGCTTTATCCCATAAAACCAGGGCTTTGTAGGAATGTCGAGTTGCACCTGATATTATAGTTTTCCTTTTGTTTTACTAGTGTTCTGCCAAGATACAACTTTGGAAAACACGCTAGGTCATTGTAATAGTTTTATAAGGAAATATATCTCCACAAAGTACAGCCTCCTTCGCAATTTGGTCTGCCCTATTCTATGGTACCTACGATAACATATTTTACGTTACGTAACATTTTTTAAAAGTAGTAATAAAGTAATGTACTTTATAGAGTGTCTAATAATAAAAAAATGTTTTTACAGTTATAAAATAATAATAAACCTCGGACATTCGGCAGTTTTCATTACTCCGAAATGTAACGAAAAGCTGAATGTACCTTATACATTATGCAACATAAGATAAATTTTGTTACGACTCTGTTCATCAGCTTACTTTGATTTATAAAAATAAATAGATAATTCCTAATTCAAATAACCTTTAGCGAATCCGGAAATTACAATTACGCTACTTTCTAACAGATGGCGCTGTAAAGATTTATAAAATGATTTCGAATATCTAAAATTATATTATTTAATACTTTTTGCACTTAGAAAAATCACTACGTTTTATTTTACTTCAACTAAAAATATTTCGTCTGTTTGTTTCTATTTTATGAATATGTAAACTCAACGGTACCTCTCTCCTAGCTTAGGACCGTTCTTCCATTAATATCGGTAGATGTCGCTATGCTATTGAAGAATTATGTAGAAATTAATTGATAATTTTATTAATTGGATTGCATGTGTATATGGGTTTACGAAATTCAATTTATTCTGTGTAACAATAATATGTATAATAATTTGTAATGGAATTTCAGATAAGACTTAATTTTATAAATATTTCCACGTAAAGGGCAGAACAGATTTTAATCGTCGTCAATTGATGTAGTATATTTGTGTGTTAAGTAAAAGAACTACTTATTTATTGGGTTACGTAGACATGAGAATAATATATCAAAACTCAGTTGTATTTCTCTTAATTTGAAAACATAACCGTCCGAAATTTTTGACTTCCTGGTTTAAAATAGATTTCTAAGAAATCAATATATTAACAACTAATTAAAACCAAGTACTTGTTTCTTTTTAATAAAAAATCTTACTGTTTGTGACCAAACTTCAAACTATGTTTTGTGATGCATGAATAAGTGTGACTGGTTATGTAAATGAAGCACTTGCCTTCTATACTGTGTAGGTAGGTGCCTGAAAGAATACCTGTGTACCTAATAATGTATTTAACTTAAGAATCTATTCTTTGAGGTTTTTTAGTAATTAAAAATGTTGTTAGTTTATTACTATGTAAAAAAAACACATACATATTTCTTATATTGAATATTCATTATTTATTTCTTATCTAAATCACAAGATCGACGATAAATTAAACTATCTAAAAATCACAAAATGCACTAAAACATGCACACATGTAATACCTACTTATTACAATGATTTTTATACCTGATTTGGTACAATTGTACGTAATTGCTACGCCTAAAACAGGTATTAGTTTAGTTTTAAATTATTATTGCCTACAATTGCCTATATTTATCTATAAATAGAATACGTTGGTACAGCAAATTTCAATTTACATTGCAGTAGCGTTTAATATTATATTTAATCGTGAAATTCATGTTAAATATTATTACGTACTCCGCTAGCTATATTTATAACTACCTACCTACCTAACTACTCAAACGCATGATAAAGTAACTGTATTATTTTAAAGTATGTACAGTTAGTAGTTCTACAATCACTTTGAATTGAAAGCATTGCTCTAATAAAAACTATAGATCTAGATATTTTTAACACAGTAAAAATACGTTATTACGACGATGTCCAATAATACAATGCTTTTAAAATAATGTAATTGCAGGAGTTTACAATAGAATTAACTAATTATTCATAATTAATCGAGTAGTTATTAATGTCCAGCTAATATTATACATCTTTAGAAGGTAGTTATACGCAAGTAGGAATACCCAGCTACAAGCAGAACCGCTGGTTGGAAGTGGGTTAGGTCTATGTTTTTTAGTATAAAATAATTGAGGCTAATACATGGTACTGAATAATTAACATAGTGCACATAATCAATAGTTAAAGCTCTTTCAATACTTTACTTAATTGTTTATATGTATACAATATAATCCGTGACAATAACCTATGGAAATGTCATAATGCCTTTGACTATTTTAGTGAAAAATAAAAATAACTAAATATATTAGAAATAGGTTATTTAGAAAACATGACAATACCACAATCTATAATAGTGACAATACTAAACGTTAGTTACGTCATTCAGTACTTTGATCAGTTAAGGTCAATATATAACGAAGAATAAATATTATGATTGTAGAGTACGCGCGGCCATTTTGATTCGTTCTCGTGACTCGTGTCGTACGTGGCACGATATAGATGGCCGTCCCTCTCTAACACGCTCTCTGCTTATAGCACCATTGTAACCCGACACGTTTCTAACACACAAGCGATTTCACAACACGTTTTACACTTTCACAATTAAAATGTTTTGTTTATAAATTATGAATCTACGGATATTTCATGACATGGCTGTTTCTTTTCTTGTAGTCTTCGAACAGCCTCTGCAACAAGGGCACGCTGTTCTAACAACCTTTCTACTAAATCGACAGGTTCTTGTTTCCTGATGTAATAAGGTGCAGCTCTCGCTCTGGCTTGTAGGTGGAGTTTTTGTTTCAGGCCAAGGGTAAGCTCTTCTATTGCGGGTAATCTACTAGATGCTAGGGGACGTCCTTGTTCTTCGGAGTTATGACGATTATCGTATCTAGTCTTCTCTTTCAACATAGTGATGAACTCGTCGATATAAACAGAACGTTATCACAAATCAGAAATTTCACTGGCGAGGCGCGGCGCAGCGGACAGCGCGCAGTGTTTGCAAATAACGAATGAATGAGCGAGTGAGCCGTCTCGACCCCAGCGTAGGGAAGACAGGTCTCCGCGGGGTAAAGGGAAGGGGGAATGACGTAGACAGATGCGCAATCGTGCCGGGCTGTATACAAACAATACGATGGACGTAAATAAACACAAGATAGAGTTATTGTGAACGGCTTTGTTTTACTTCCAGCATACATCTTTAGTGCTTATTATGTTTAATAATAAATAGAAAATCACTATAGGTACCTGTTACAAAACAATAGCTAGATATCTTTGTAAGGGAACATTGAAAAATATTTTAAGTGAAGCAATTTATGAGTGTGTCTTTTGTAAACAGTAACCCAGACGCAGGTAAAATATCAAGAATCTGGCCTACTTTCTATATAAAAATTGTTTAATGTACGTCGCGACATCGTCTAGCATGAAATTTGACGTGAAAATAGTTTTACCTCAAGTAAAACTATTTTCACTATTACCCTTTAACAAACAGTTTCATTATTATCCGTTAGTCGTTTGGTCCTAAAAATATAATTGATAGATACACATACACATTACTGAATTAGTATTCATTATAGCTGCTACATACATACAAAGTAAACAAACATAAAGATTAGCTGAAATCGGCAATATGCCGATACCCAATTTGTAACGTAATTATTAAAAAAATATGTTCAGAATTATTCATCGTTGAACAATTTCTTATTCCAATGTTATATACCAAGTAATTTTCACATCTTTTTGAGATACAAGAGTTTTGCATTTATGTACAAACGATACATTTCCACATATTACTGTAATCATATTATTATACTTTATTTCTGTACTGATAAAGTAATACGTCCTCCTTTCCATCATCAATATAGGTGGCTTAGATATAGGAAATACCCTATATTTCCTTCCTGTCGTAAGTATTTAAATAAAGCTTGGTAGAGCAAGGTCTGTACTACCTAGTTGTGACTAGGTTATTCAGGAAGCTAAATATACTTACCTAGTAAATAGTCATGAGTAAGTGTTGTTACAAACAAATGCAAATGAACCTTATTCGTATAGTATTAATGTCGTAACTTTAATTTCCTTTCCATTACCGAAGTCAATGTGTTGGTGATTATTTATATGTGGTAGTAATAGGTAGACTGTCTGTGTTCTCATCGTTTCGTTGAACCAAAACTAAATACGGACGTTGCCCTCAGTTCACGCGGTTTTTTCCTCTACCTACGTTTGTTTTGTTATGGTTTTGTTTCATTACTTGGTACCTGTATATTTTTTGTGTCTATTGGCTGGTACTTACCTGGGTACGAAACGTAATGTAACGGGATTCAATATAGATATACCTGTTTAAGTCTCTGCTGCTTAATCTATCTATACATATTGTAAAATTGAGTCCTCCACCGTATCTGTATGTAAATTCTTGTTAATCTCAAATAATACTGAACATATTTTCATGCGGTTTACTATCATCAGCAGAGTGAGTATTAAGGAAGATTTAGGTGTATAATTAATTACAGTTTTGTATCAATCGGTTGAAATATCCGTGAAAAGTCGGAGCGGATCGATAGTTTTATATAAAATTTGTTTTAATATACAAGTATGTATAGGTA